CAATTCGCCAGTCCGCCAACGCAAGCACGGCAAAGCTGGCGAGAGGGTCAGAGCATTGTGGTCGGATCTTGGATAGATCAATAGGCTAAGGGCAAGTTAACGCGAGGTGCTCAGACTTCCGGGGGCCCGGCCGTGAAGGATATGACGACCGCTATGTGTGAACGGCCCGGCTACGGGCTGCGTGGAGAGGTCGCCAAGTTCGGTCAAGGTCGGAGGCTGAAACTCTGGAGGCTGTGCCATTTTTTTGGTCTAGAAACTTGAGGGTGCGTCCCTTGCAGACAATTTCTTCGCTCCGGTCCAGTTCAGGCGAAGCGTCTTTAGGATATACCCACCATTCCGTTTCCTTGACCGATGCCACTGGTCAAAAAGCCATCGTCACTCGTCGAAGGCTCGAAGCAGATGAAGCAGACGAGTTTCTATAGAGCTTCTTGGCAACAAAGGTCCATCTGTAAGGTCTGTGCGCTACACCTCGAGGGGCTGATCAACGAGCACTTGTGACAAGTTTGTTTGGGATCTAGAAGGTGGTGGGCTTTGATTGGACGAGGTCGAATTCGGACGACGCAGGGCAAAGGAGATCCGGGATGGTTTTCAAGTCGAATCGAGTTGCCAAATGTTAAGATGGCAGCGGGCCGCCGACTCGGGTGCAAAGACAATGGAGATGCTTCCACTGAGGCCTCATGCAGTGCAGGATTGACAGCTGGCTGTTGCGGCTGGAGCAGTTCCGGCTACCCCTTAGGAGGTGGGAGGCAAGGGATGACTGACCCATCGTCATCCAGACCGCGGGAACAAGAGTTTCTAGCGGTGAGTTGGAAATTTCTACACTGACTATAGGTTGAGGCGAAGACGTCAGTAGGTTGCCATTCTGCCCTAGAAGTGGATGCAGTCTGTAGAAGCCATGGGCTGGTTCTGGTTTTGGCAGAGGGGGCTCCGGAAGCAGGAAAATCGACCGTTTTCAAGAAGCCGAGTCAGGTACGGTTCACAAAGCGTGATGAGCAGTGGGCCCATGGCTCATCTGTCGTCCACATGATGGAGTCTAGAGGTCATACTACAACGGGGGACGGTAGACCTCGTTCGGAGTTTGACGCTGTCGGGGATATCCTGTCCCTTGAAAACGAGACGCCGTGAGTCGAATAGGAGGTCGGATGTATAGGAAGACAGGTTCAAACTGTGTATCGTGTGCATCGGGATGCTGGCGAGGCACAGTAATCCGATGGAAAGCTTACTGGGTTCATTTGACTTGCAATCGAATGTCATCACCCCTAAAGAAGCTTGGCTTGAAGGACAGTGAAAACGTTGCGGCTTCGAGGTTACGACAGCAGTCGTAAACATAGTCGGATAGTCGGTGTCACCGACTAGGCGTACTCTTGATTGACCGCCATGTCTCGGAAGACAGGGAGCGAGGCGGCAGATCAGGAGGCTGATGGACGGTTGGGTGAGGGTACCGTGCTAGTGGTAAGAAAAGTGAATCGAAGAAGAAAAAAATTCCAGCATGCATGTGATAAGGACCAAAGGAGTGCTTCTCGAACTTGTCTCGGGTTCTCTCACTCCTCACTAGGTTGCTACCAGTCACCCGCTAGAGAATCTTGAGTCTGTAGCACGACAGAAGGCAAGCTTGAGTGGCTGCTGCTGCGGTCCTGCGGGCCATTTCCGCCGACTTCAAGAAATCTCGGACCCGTGCAAGCTCGCCGTATCCTAAGACTAGCGTAGGTTCGCAATAACCCGGACTAAACGTGTAATTTGGGCGAACAAGTCTTTTGACGGGAATGTTCCCTAAGCAAGTTACCTTACTCGCAAGCAATGGAAGTACTTGTGGGAGTGTACGCGGCGCTGTAGTTGAAAGGACTCTCTCTACTCTGACTGTAGCCTTCGTGAATGCTTCTAGAGGTTGGCGTTCAGAAATTTGCGAACGACCACAGTCATTCAAGAAGCAGCACCAGCTCGACAAGACAGGGGGAGATGAAGCTCCAGGTGATATCCTGTAGGTTTTGCTGGTTCTGGTAAAGTCGCGTGGGATTGCTTTGGAGGAGCTTTACTGTCAAAGCTGTCAGCCCTCGCTTGTGGTTGGTTGGCGGTCTCTTATCAGCGGTTGAGCTCGCGTCCAGGACCTTATCCCCCGCACCCTCCATCCTTTCCTCTCTCTCTCTCTCTCTCCGGTACCAGCTAGGAGGAGCTGAGCAGGACGGGCGGTGACTGTCACCGAAGTGCCAACAGGCCGCTGGGTGCGGTATCAGCTCGTAATTAGGCCCGTTCGTGACTGACTTTTGCGGCGGCAGAGGGGGGCAGAAAGGCGGGGTTTATTCACCGCTTTCTTCATTTTTCTCTCATCAGCGCCAAGCTCGATCTCGTTGCTCTCGGTGACAGTAGTTGGTCCTCTTTGGGGCCATTTCGGCATTCATGAAACCATTCGAACTGCGGCTAATAAGTGCCTCCTAACCCAGCCTGACCAGGTAGCTCCTACTAGGGTAGGTGCTTGAGCGATGCAGCCGCCAGCAGCATAGGGGGAGGCGTTCGTGTAACGTTCCGTGGGCCATCACGAGATGGTAGCCCCGATTTAGTCCGATTTGAGGGTCCCGACTTGCTGTGTAGGTATGGGTACTTGAAGAGAGAGAAAATGCTGTCTGCATGGCACCCGTGCCTAGGTGAAGCATCAATCGATGAAATGACTCTGTAACCGAGTCCGCGGGTGAGTCGAGATTCGTGTCTGTCAAACTCGGGGGCCAATCATTGCTTCTTCCCTGAAGAACATTATTGAAAACAAAGGCCAGAAGAAAGCACGACCCAGGCCAAGCAGTGTGATGTCACTTTAGTGCTTCGAGGGAGTATGGCTGAATCAATACCCGCTTTAGCTGCAAGTGCTGTCTACGGTTCCGAAATGCCAGCCGCCCAGTCGGTCAGGGTCCAGGGGGGGTGTAAGTTGTAAGTGGCAAAAGAGAAGAATGTGGCAGAGGAGAATATGGTCGCGAGTTGGGAGGTTTGAGGAAAAAGGTACAATTGGCTGCGGGCTTGTGAGTCGTTGCTCAGAGCTGGTCGAGAGAGGGCTGACTAGCCAAGAGCGATTGTTTTCCGTCCGGATAACTAAGGTGAACCGTTTGACAGCCTGCCATTGGTAATCCTGTCTGACTTATTCAAGTAAGCTGATACATGGCCCCAGGGGAGGTAAAAAGGCCGAGAGAGATGGTAGCGCAAAGGCGGCATCTGAACAAGGCTTTTTGGGCCTCTGGCCGAGGAGCTCTCTCAGGTATTTCTTGAGCAGGCGCCACCTCGGTGAAAAGCCGTGGTTTCGGGATGCAGCTGGCAGCTGGTGCTTATTTCCAAAGAGGTTGGTTTGGCGAGGGAAGACGAAAGTGGATCAAGTCAGCCTGCAGGCTTAATTTTTTTCCTTCTGATCTCAACATCGGATTCTGGTGTCGGCCGGCCGGATGGCTTTGGGAGTTGAATTTTTCTCGCCTTTGGTTGAACTTTTTTTTGTTTTTTTTTTTCGTTGCTGGATAGAATCTGCCGATTGTTGATAGGTCGAGGTGAAGAGGATGCAAGGCGAAGAACAGGAGGGTCCTCGCGCCGAATGTGGGGACCTTCCCTGGCAATTTCAATACGTACCCCCCTTGTCTGCGCAACAGCTTTGCTCATCGCGGCATGGGGCGGAAGGAGAAAAAAAAAAGAGCAAAAACATAGGTTCCTATCTACTACGTAGGTACCTGCTCGTACCTGCTCGATGAGGAAGTATTCGTACGTATTTCTGACCTTATCCGTTATGACTTTTTACCATGTCTGCAGGATCAAAATTCGCTTTCTCTGCCTTGACATCCAAATCCCTGGAAGCTTCGTTGCATCTACACTAGGCATGAAAGGACAAGGTAGCTGTGGATTATACGCAGGTTGACGTGCTGAAGAGCTCCCTGGGCCCTGCGTATTCCTTGTGTAATACATAGCGGCAATGGAGCTGCATCGCAGAAGACGACAAAAGAAGAGTGTTAGTTACAGAGCAAGAGAGAGGAGGGGGGAAAAATTGATTGTTGCAGATATCCACATCCATCTTGACCTTCACCGTACCGATTACACACCAGGCGTGCTGCATGTTTCCGTACTCCCTACAGATTCTTTGTCTTCTTCTCTTTCTCACTCTTCCCAAGCTCTGTCCTAATCCCCACCCCATCAAGCCCGCCTTCCCTCTCCGCTTGTGGAGCAGACGATTCGCGCCAACGTCCACGGGTCGGGGGGTAAGGTCTCCACCGATGCGTGCTTTGGAGGCGCTGCAGACGCTACAGATGCCACGGACTTGCTGCAGCTCCAGGGTTCACCTTTGCAAGAAAATACTTCCAACTTGTCGAGGCAAGGCAAGGGCCCTGCATGTAGTGTACGGAGTAGGTAGTGTATGGTGTGGGCGGTGCCTTGGTGCTTCGGGCTGCCTGATGCCGACCCCTCCGCTGGCCCGTGTCCCCGTTCCCAATGCCCAACGGCAGCCCCGATCATGCTTCTCCTTGTAGAAGGACCGTTCATCGCTTTTATTCCGGAGATTTGGTCTGGGCCTGCTCATCTGGCCACGGCAATGCAATCGCAAAGCGGTAAAATTAGCTCTTGAACTGATCAAACGAAGCAATGAACCAAAAAGTGATACTGTTCATGTTTATGCGCAAAGAGTAGGTAGCTATGCTGGGCTGCGTTGTGCACATTATTCGCCAAGCCAAAAAGCACGACGGAAAAGAGCTCAGAATAGGTAGGTACCGTATGGATAGTCAAAAGAAAGCCTCGCTTCGCTTAGAGGGTACACGCGCAATGCTATCCGCACTTGCGGGTACAGCGTATCTCTGAAGTCTGTGATTGCCCAGGAAGCTACGAAGACAAAGTGACAGAGTTGAGTACACTATGTACAGTGCTCCGTACACCATCTGGGGCCCCTCCCCGTTAGCTGGTATGTCAACGTGACGACCAGCGGGGATCCAAGCAGCGGGCAGACGTCGACCGAGGTCAGGACCACGTCCGACCAGTAAGCGGAGGCGAGAATGAACCAGGGGTCCAGCTCCGCTATGCTGCGGGAGGAGGAGGAGTATCTAGGTAGGAGAAGTGAGATGGGCGAATGCAAGCTGCCACCACGCCGCAGCAAGGCAAGGCAAGACGCAAGACATGCGAGCAGACAAGAAGCCTTTCGCCTTGGTCTCGGAGCTTGACTCTGTGAAGCATCCTGTTGGCATAGGAGTACTCGAGGACAAAGTAAGGTAGGTGTCCGTATGGAAGGCATGATTGTGCTTCTCAGTTCGGATCATGGAGCGACGACGGGATTTGGCAACGGTTGAAGGGTGGGGCGAGCAAGGCGAAGCACTCAGAGTAGTCAAGCTTGGGGCCCGTGGTGAGTTGGTGACAGACTTTGCGAGTTACTTCCCTGTTGCCAGCCCTGAGCGTCGTGGGTAAGAAGGTACGACCGGGAAGGAAAAAGGAAAAGAAAGAGGCAGGCACAGGCAAGCTTGCTCAACTTTCAAGAGCTCCCCTGTGATGCGGCAAGGACCTCTTTCCACTGTCAACCACTCGCAAGCTCCGAAAAGAAAGAGCAAAGCAAAGCAGCCCACTTCCTGCCCTGTTCCCACCCCACCCCCCTCCTTCTCTCCTTCCCCTTGCTGTTGCTCTCGCTCTTGCTCTTGCTGTTGCTCTTGCTCTTGCTGTTGCTCTTGCTGTTGCTCCTCCTCCCCGCTACCTGCTCCTGCTCCTGCTCGTCCACCACAGGCTGTCAATTGCTTTCCTGTCACACCCCCTCCTTCTCAATTCCTCGACTTCATCCTCCCCCTCCTCTTTCCTCCGCCATGCAAGTCCTCCACCCGATTGTCTCGACTCGAATCTTGCCTGGTTCTGCATCCACGCCCCCTGCCTCGTTCTCATCCTCCTGCCCTCCTTTTCCCCTTCTTCTTCCATCCCCCTCTTCCCACAGACCCTGGGGTCAACCAAGCCAATCCAATCCACTAGACACACTCGATCCCCCATCGAGTCATTGATCTCTTCCACCAACGCCAACCAATTGTCGGCTCTTGACATCGTCGGCGGGTCGACTTGCCGACCTTTTCCCCTACCTTACAGTACGTATAGGTACGTCTTGTTCCTTCCCCTGCGCTTTTCGACTGAAATGCTCTCCATCCATCCCACAGCTGACCCCCCGAGCTTTGAGGTTACCCTCCTGCCATTGGAAGATGACGCCGTAGCCCGGTGGTACCTTGAATGAGCACCAAGCTGGTGTCGTTATACAGTAGCTCTGCCGAATCTTTCAAGCACCCAAACCCAAGCAATAGCGGAAGCGGCAGCGGTAGCAACAGCAAAAGCAGAAGCAGAGACTCGCGGTCCCACGGGCGTCAACTGGTTATGGCTGCCGCCATTCTCGGACAAGTCAGGCACCTCGTGGTGCAATCTTTTTCATCCAACAAAGAGAAGAGGCGGAATGACTGACTCGAGAAGAAACATCTTGTTACTCGTCTCTCGGAGCAATACGTTTAGCCCATCGGACATGTTTCCAGGTTCAACAGCCCAGCCCAATGAGCCCAGTGTCTTGGAAAGCTCGGCCTCGGCGACCAGCCGTGTGTCACTTGCCATGCAACGATCTGGCGAAGCCGACTAGATCCTTCTGAAGCTGGCGGTGATGAAGCTTCAAAGCCTCTGCTTGGCTGATCACTTACACCATCTCGCGTCACCGTACCGACCGCCGCCGCCGCCCCTCAGAACAGTGCTCATCTAGCAGCGGCAGATGGTAAAAATGTTGATTACTCGTAGCTGACAGTCTGGCGACTGGTGACATTGACGCCGTCTGCCACGGGCCCAACCTTGAGGTGGACTTAGGCTCACCTAACCATGCGACGAATACCAAGTCTTACCTCACAGCTTGTCAGCTGTTCACCTCTGTCGCTCCCCAAACCGACTACTTCCTTGCTCCTTGTACCTTGCGGCCACACCCTCGCTCGTCCGTCTCCTTGTTCGCGGCTGATAATATCCCTTTTCATCTGCATCTTTCATCACATCTGCTTCAGGTGTGCTGTATCCGTAGAAGCAAGCCCAGAAGCAGCATAGGCCCAGGCACAGAAAAGGTACGAGCGCGCAACTCAATTATCGTGGCAACACTTTCGGCGTGCGAAGCAAGCAAGGTAGGTAGGTAGCTAGAAGCCTTTCCTACAACATTGGTAGCCGTAGATCGGATTGGAGCTGTATTCGTCGGCGGCTTTTGGATCTTGTCTTGCTTTCGTCGATTCAGCCATTGCTTACCTACCTTGCCTAGGTAATCTCTACTGTCCAAGACTAAGGCAGAGTAAGTACATGAACGAGTGAGAGAAGAACAGGCAAGGTTTTACCAGACTCCGAACCAAGCTCCCTCCTTGCTCACACACCTTGCTATCATCCGCCCGTACTTCTTTTGCCTAGCCGTGTAAGTAGGGACTCATTTGGCTACAGATCATGCTGCGTAATAACTGGCCTTATGTGACTGGGCTGCGACCATGATGTACCTGGGTGAGCAAGGTAAGGCAAGGCAAGGTAGCTTGTCCTGACCTGACCTGACCTGGACCTGCCCTGGGTACCTTCCATGAGATACCCACCAGACCGAGCCACACCCCTACCTAGCCCGTCCAGTACCTCTCTTTTCCCCATTACCGCTACTTACTGCTTTCGGTCAACTTCCCTTCTGCCCCCAAAATCAGGTTCCTTCTCTTCCTCTTCCTCCCCGTCCTTTCCTCCCCCTCCATTACACCTTGTTCTTCGAAACACTCTTTGTAACACGCCTCAAGACGAGAGCTTCCAGAGCTCTAGACTCTTGCTCACCAAATATCGCAGCCTTTTGTCGAACCGTCAAATGCTCAAGCTCCAACATATTCAGTCACCTTCAATTGACCTCGCTTCGCGATACGCTACGACAGTAACAGCACTTATCGCTCCTCACCCCGCTCAGTATCGATACCAGCCCTCAAGCGCATGGTGGGGTCAAGATGCCGCCCAGATCTTCTCTCACGTCTTCTTTTTCAATCACCGACTCCAACAATGAGGTCGTCTGTCCTCTGCGGAATCAGGATGGATCTAGCTGTAGGAAAAGATGCATCGGTGTAAGTCTCATTGTGCTGCCTGCATTGCCGCATTGCTCCCTCACGACGCCCTCTTCGCCACAAGCAGACCAACACTGCCCCCGTCTGCGCTGCTGCACCTCTCTACTTGGACCCAGTGCACAGAGAGAGCTTTGATTACTACAGCGAAAAATCCACTCGACCAAGGGAAAATCGAGAACGCTACTCTGACACTTGATAAATTCCTTAGGAAAAACGATATCGCTCCATGCAAGAACACATTCGCCGCGCTCATCCAGAACACTACATTTCGAAGCTCCCAGCGACCGAGGAAAGCTTCATGCTCATGATCAACACTCCTCCATCCGAACGTCCAATGCAGCAAAGCGCAACTTCTGTTCCCCAGGGTTCGTCCCTCTCAATCCAGGGCTATCCCCCAAAGATTGACCATCTTCAAGGCTTCAATCACGACCATCACATGTATGATAACAGTAACCCGGGCACGCCTCGAACCATGGACGACCACGCCGTTGGTTCCATGCTCCCCGCTGCCAGTGCTGCTGCGGCGCTGGCTCAGCTCCACGGTCACAAAGTCGAACCCGAATGGGAGGAAATGGTGAGTTAGAACATCCTCCCCTGACTGACTTACAAACTCGAACCACGATTGCTAATCAAATGTGCGCTACTAGGGTTGGCACTCAGACACGGAGGGACGCCGCATTCCAAGGACATCAATTGAGCTGCCTCCGCTGCACTTGACGAATAACGACATTACTAGCGAGCCATTCCCAGCTATGAACTCCAGTCGGCCACGGGATATTCTGCCGTCAATTCTGGCGAATTCGCCCCCCGGTCGCTCTTCAACATTACCCCCAATCCAACGGCCTGCTGTAGGACCTGCCCGACCAAGGAAGCAGTCCGTCACCAAGAGAGGCCGAGAGGCGCACCACAAGAAGCAGAAGTCTCGCGGCTCGGCAGCAGACTGGCTTCGGCGGATCCAAAACGACGAACGGCTTAGACCAGGTAACAATGACCGTAAGGCGTTATCGGCTGAACCTTCTGCAGACTATGGGAAGAGATGGGAAGATCTCATCGATGCCGCCGATCAAGCTGCATCAGCTGCCGGCGACATCGATGAGGATAGGACTCCAGTAAGAAGCTTTCATGCGCTCGCATCTTCACATTCTCTGACCTTTATCCAGATGCCTCAATCACCAGTTTCTATTCACCGGGCTTCTTTGCCGCCATTCCAGCACCATGGATTTCCATCAGCGACAGCTGGAGGGAACTATCAAGCCTCGCCATTGCAGCAGGCCTTGACCCCGCCATCCTACAGCCAGGACACAATTGACCCATTCCCGTCGGTTGAAAGCGGTGAAAGCGGGGAGAACTTCCACATCGAGTCGCGAGGCCTATCGGATTCATCACCAAGTTATTCTTCTCAGAATACCCAGATCTACTGCGCAGCCTGTCAGAGCGTTTCACTTCTCAAGGACTCATACGCCTGCACAGAATGCATCTGCGGTCTGTGCCAGGCGTGTGTCGACGTTCTCATGGCAGAGCAGGGGGCTCGCCGCAAATGCCCCCGTTGCGCAACAATCGGCGGCCGGTTCAAGCCGTTCCAGCTTGACATCCGGTGATTATTATGTCTTGTCAACGACCATCATGCATACGTTACGCACAAATATTGGAGCTCTGAGGCCCACAAATTGCATTTGAAATCACACACGGCGTCTTGGATTGGGCCAATGCGCATATACAGCATCAAAGCTTGGCATAAGGATTCACCGCATCGATAATACCCCCGGCGTTGCAACTTCGCGAGAGCTTAGACAGAGAGCTTTTCACGAGCCGGTTTCTCCACATTCTTTACATTATTATACGGACTAGTGACTCGTGACAGTCTTGGATAGGTGTGGTTCTCTCTTTTTTCTTGATGCTACAGGCAGAGTATGGGATATCAAAACGATTACAGGATTAAGGGTCGGCTTGCACGTCGTTATGATCTTGCTTTTCTTTCTTTTCTTTTTTGGCTTATTGATAATTTGTTCTGGGTGGGTATAGGCAAACTGTTTTTCTAGGAGTACTCCATTGGTTTATAGATGCCAATCATGAATTTAAATCAATCTAAGCTATAACATCAAAATTTTGTATCATGGGTATCATTCAAAACTCGTCTTTGTCACTAATGTATACAAGAAGCAAAATTGGATGAGCTCATCATCTTCTCGAGTCCTTCTCCTTTTCTTTCTTCAAAAGCAAATCGCGCATGGCGGCTCTAGCGTTGCGGCTACCGCCCAGCTTCGGACCCTTGAGGACTTCTTCATCGGCCTTGCGAGCCCCGGCGCGAGCCGCCGGCGCTGCCGTCTTCTTCTTTTGTTGGCGCTGGACCATGGCGTCCATGAACTCGCGCCGGAATTCCTCGGCGATGCGGTCGTCTGCGTCGCCGTCGCCTTCGTTTTGGGGTTCCTGTGGTTTTGGTACATCGTAGACGTCGACTAAGTAAGGTTTCCAGATTAGCATGTGCTTGCTGGCCCCATTGAAGGAGACGGTGCAAAACTCACGTCTGTTCTCGCGCAGAATCTCCTCGACGAGCTGGTCGCGTTTGATGTCGTCGCTGGTGCGCCTGTTCCTGGGCCGCCAGGGTTTACCGTCCCTGCCGAGGCGGGGTTTCTTGGCTCGCCGGCCGCCGGTATCGTCGTCGACGGATTCGCCTAGGAGGCGGCGGGCTGCCTTTTCCGTCATGGCTTGGTTCCGGGCGCGGACTTCGTCGCCGAGGTCGACTTCCATTAGTTTCCCTTGCATGATGGGGTGGTTTTTGGGGTCTGGAAGTTCGGCTGGTCCGGCGGAGGGTGCTGTTGTTGACGGATTCGTTACGACGGTGGCGGCTTGGTGTTGGGAGGAGGTTGGAAGTTCGGATTGTGGTGGGGGGTTGCGGTTAGAGAGGTGCGATTCTATGTATTCCATCCTTGCTTGATCAGCCTCTGGCGTCGGGATGGAAAGGAAGGATGAGAAGTGGAGCTTCCCTGGGGGGGGGGGGTTATACTTACATGTGTTTGTTGACGATTGTAGTCGCTGCTGCGCCGGTCTGCGGCGCGAAGCGCTTTGCGATGAGGGGGTCGTCGTCTGGGGCTTGTGCTGGGACGGAAACCAGTGCGCGCGATGATGATGATAGGCTCACTGGGTCTGTATCGTCTCCTCCGGCGCCGGCGAGGGCGCTTGTGCCTCGCGCAGAGAAGCCTACGCCGTTGAGTCGCTTCCGAGCGCGGTGGCGGAGGGCGGAGGGGATGTGTGCTTCGGGGCCCTCGTCGGCGGTGGTTTCCGTGGCTGGTGCAGATGTCGTATTGTTTTCTGCTGTCGATGTTGATGTCGAGGCTGCGGCGTTGTCGTCGTCATCGGCGGCGGGTGATGCGGCGCGTTGACGGAGGCCTGCTTTGCGCTTCTTGTTTGCGCGGAAGAGGATCGGGGCCGGGGCCGGAGCCGCGTCTGTGGTTGGGGTTTCGTCGGCGGGTGGCGCCATGATGGAGTCGAAGTGAGCGCCGGAGCGCGCTGGTACTGGTTGTCTGCGCGCTGGATTTAAAACTCGGCGGGTTGTCCTGGGTGCGACGTTTTTGGACGTTGATTTCGAGGATGTGAAGATAGGTGGATGTGTGTGTTGTAAATCGGAACGTGGACAGAAGGCGCAAATTCGCCTGGGCGATTGAGGCCGCGCCAGGAAACTCCACCTTGCGAAATGCCGAGGATTAGCCTATCGATAATGGACTGGACAAGGGGGGTCAAGCATGTAAGTGCAACCCACTGGCATGGATGTCATCGGTGTGACGGTGTCAGCGACCCCCACCAGGTTGGTTCCCGCTTTTTGTCTTTGCCAACGGCAAGCATGTCGCAAGAAGCTCGAGGGGGAGCTCCGAGCTACTTTTAACCTCTGTGCATCCTCACTCTCTGAGGCCTTGCAACTTCATCTACAGTCGTTGAAAATCAGATCGCAAGTCAACATGGTGAAGAGGGTATGCAATTTCTCCACTGACAGGATTTTAGACATACTGAAGAGAAGTTAGATATACTTTCTGGCCCATGGCGGTCAAGTGCAAGGTACGTTTCTTGCAGCCCCTCCCTTACCCTCCACATGAGCTCCGAGCTTTTATCTGGATAAGAAGGGAGGGGTGTGAACTTGTGATAAGTGACTTTTTTATTTCGGAACACACTGACGTCACAAATTCAGGTGTCGGATTCCGGTATGTGATGGGATTTTCCGACAACACGGTTTTTCAATTTCGTTTGGACCAGTTGGGTGTCAATTGAATTGGCGATATTCACCTTTGTAAGAGTATGATACTGACGAAGCGATGCGGTTGACAGGTACTTTACGCAAAAGAGAGCCACAGATTATGGTCTTACGGGATGGTGTCGCAACACTGATAACAACAAGGTGAGCTTTGGGTACTTTTTCTTCAATCATTTCCAGGAGTCATTGATCGACATGGGATTTGACGAGGAATTGCGCTTCTGAGAAACCTGGCTGCTGACTCGGCTGGGGCATAGGTTGAGGGAGAGGCGCAAGGAGACGAGGATGCGCTGAAGAAGCTGCTTAAGGACATTGACGAGGGACCGAGATCCGCCAGGGTTGTCAAGCTTGACCAGGAGGAGAGAGATCTTGTTCAGGACGAAAAGGACTTTGCAGTTCGGCGATGAGTTGTCGCTTGAGTGACTTCTGTTTGAAGAACAACATTAGTAAGGAGACCGAGATTGAGAGGGGCAGGTGGTGAAATATTATCGCCATGACTGCGTCTTAACAACTTTCTTTTCCTGGGAAGGACCTTGCTTGCCCAGTAACACGACAAGCATATCTCGATGACAGTAGACTTGATAGAGTACCCAATATACTCACGGGGAATGTTTGACTTGAGCAACATGTTCTGCTTCTTGATCAGATAGAACAAGGAAAGACTGGTATGCTACAAGCCAAGCCCACGTCCCCCCTCTCAGTTTGCTTTAGTATCAAGACCGTTAGAACACGCGAAGGCAGAGAAACCCAATTACCATGTACCAACATCATTATAGCTATGTGGTGGTTTTTTTCCGACTTTACAGGCGCAAAAGATCGACCTTAACGGGATCACGCTTTCAAGGGAAATCACACGATACGGTACACTTTTTAACTACACAATACGCGCAATGTGCCCCAAGCACGCGCTCAACGCAATATAGTGATTTCGATACGAAAACCGCTATGCAATTATCATTATAGCTATATTGCGTGAAGGAATAAGACCTCCGCAAGTTTTCAGATCAGCGTTCTCTACCTCTAAGAGAGTGCTTTCCTTCTGAGTCATGACCTTGCGGAACACCAGTGGCTGCGTTGCCACCCCCTGGGAGACTGCAAAGATGATAGGATGACAGAGCTGATACAAAAAGGGTGCAAGATGCGAGATGGCCCAAGGTACTACAACTTCGGGTCAAGGTTCAGGCTGTTGTGCATTGTTTTCTTCAGCAGCTTGGCGTTCGTGTCACCCTGACCTCTGGTTATGTTGCACTTCTTCAAGACTTCCTTCACCAGGGCCTCGTCCCTTGCGGTCAGTATCAGTGAGCCCCCAAGTGCGTTGACTACACCAGTCCGTCGGCGCCTTTACACCTCCAGCATTGTCTCATGGGTATTACCGCCAAGCCTTACGGAATGCATGCTAGACGCTGGAAAAAGACGGGCGTCTCATGGGCTTATGAGCTCGTCTTCCACCTAAGCCAGCTTGACGCGAGCCCGCGGTATGCGCCGCGCGATTGCTTCCAGCACTAGTTTCTTGGCTGTGGGAGGACTGACCGGCGACGTCTTCGCACAAACCGCAACCTTGCCACCACCGCGCATCAACTCAATTAAAATGTCGAGCGACGAACACACCTCATCGGTTCAGCATTGTTGCCCAGTGTGTCTCCTGTCAAGGCGATGTCTTACAGAACAACAATGGCGCGATGCTTTTTTACTGGAAGCTACAAAGACATTAGGATTTACCTTGATATACAAAGGCCCCAAGATTCGACATGCCCTGTCCTGATAAACACAACGACAATTGGCGATACTGGTTTCCGCCCAGAAGAAGTACGCGCTAACAGAGACTATAGCGGTGTGCCCATCTAAGATACCCCGGGGGCCATTCGAACGTTGTGAACATCACCAAGTCACTTCAAACTACATCGGCCCGTCAGCGTTGCTATTCCTTCGACTCTGCCGCGTAAGCATTATCCCTAGGCTTTGAGGAAGACACTACAGACACTAGAGAAAGGCCAAGATTTCTCGGAACAAGATTGGCCATATGAGGTTTCCCGAGAGCGATTATCACGAGCCCACCGCCTGGTCGAAGCCGACCGCAAAGGGAGGCCGCGGCGTGAACACTTCCTACGTTACTAACTTCAAAAACGTCTACAAAGACCTGCTATGGTTGCTCCCGATCTTATCTATTAGCTTCATGCCCAACTTCTTATTTTTGGCTTTTACGGGAGCACGGGAGGTATCTAATATGTGGCGGGACATGCTCAATTGATAACTTGAAACTGCTGAGCTGATTCCTCAAAATCTTACGATGAGCCAGTCCCTGCACAGGCCTTCTGGTATTCCCTTACATGACCTTGCTCACGCCAAAATGATGCTCGCCTTTTGCGACACCATATATATGCCTCGTGGCATCTTCTTCAGTCACCGGGTCTAGAAGCTGCCACGATAAATAGGAGTCAAGTCTCAAGGGATCCAAAAACCTCGGGGGTTCATAGATTCTATCCAAAACACCAAAAACGAAAGATCGCTAAACGCCTCTACCCCTTCGCTTAATAACAGGCTTCCTCACAGCCCCATGTGTGACAATCTTCTTCCCCCCCGCCGCCGCCGCCGCACCCCCACCAGTCCTCCTCCTCTCCAACCTCTCCTTCTCCGCCTCCACCCGGTCCGCCTCCCTCTTCTTATCCTCGGCCATCTTAGCCTCGATCTCCATCTTGCGGTTAAACTCCGTCTCGGTAATGCGCTTGTCCCGGACGGAATACCCCTTCTCCTTGACAGAATAAAACACGCCGCCCAAATCGGCGAGCCAGTGCGGGTCCACCGCCGTGACGGTCGACACGTACACTTTCGACGTCAGGATGAGCTCGTGGTAGACGACGTAGTCGGGCGGGTGGCCCGCGTACAGCGCCGACGTCGGGTGCAGCTGGACGCCGAGGTTGGTCCGCAGATTGATATACTCCCCGGAACCCTTGTACTTGGCCGCCTGGTGGTAGTAGCCGCTGCAGATGCACTTGCGGATGACGTCCCAGTCCATGCCGCAGCTCAGCATCTCCATCTTTTGCATCTTCATGATGTCGAGCAGCTGGTCGCGGATCTCCTTTGCGCGGCGCAGCGACTTGGGGTGCAAGAAGTGCTTGATGCACCACCCATCTGAGCAGCCGTTGGACCGCCATGCCGAGTACACCTGGAGGTACGTCAGGTGGTCCGACTCGTGGACCCAAAACTTTTCGCGCTGGGCATCCGCCTCATCCTGGCGCTCTTTGGGTCGGTAAAAGACGTTGGGGACGGAGAGCATGGACACAATGGTGATCATCTCCTCGCTGCAGCCGTATTCCTCGGCCGTGATGAGGAGCTTGGAGAGGGACGGGTCCATTGGGAACGCGCTCATCTTTCGACCGAGCGTGGTCAGCTCTCCCAAATTGTCCAAGGCGCCCAGGGCCCACAGATCGAACATTGACGTTGTGATGGTGTCCTGTGGTGGGGGATCCATGAAGTCGAAATCTAGTAGATCCTTGACGCCCAGGGACTTGAGCATGAGTACCGTGTTGCTCAGATTCGTACGCTGTATTTCGGGAATCGTCTGCATGTAGAGCTCCTCTTTGAACGCCTTCTCCGTGAACAGTCGGAAAGCCTTTCCAGGTCCTGTTCGACCGGCACGTCCTGATCGTTGCGACGCGTTTGCTTGGGAGATTGGCGTGATCTGAAGAGTGTCCATACCCATCTTTGGATTGTACACCTTCATCTTGCTGTACCCAGCATCCACCACGTATTTGATACCGTCGACCGTCAAACTCGTCTCGGCGATATTCGTCGCAACAATGCACTTGCGCACACCTGGCGCCGCGCGGTCGAAAATCTTTGCTTGCAAGTCTGCCGGCATCTGACTGTAAATGGGCAAGATGCTTAGCTTCGGGGGATCGTTGAGAGCATCGAGACGTTTCTGGATCAGCTCGCAGGTGACCTCGATATCTTCTTGTCCCGTCATGAATACCAAGATGTCGCCCTGGTCCATGGACACGTGTATGGCCAGGACCTGCTGAACCGCCTGATCCACGTAGTCCTCGACCGGTGACCTGTGGAACATGACATCGACGGGGAAAGTTCGGCCTGGGATGATGAACTCCGGCGCTCCACCGTAAAAGTCGGAGAAGCGCTTCGCATTCATCGTCGCAGACGTGACGATGAGCTTCAGATCTCGCCGTCGCTGGAGAATCTTTTTGAACAGACCCATGAGGATATCCGTGTTGAGAGCTCTCTCGTGGGCTTCGTCCATGATGACGCACGAGTACCTGTCGAGATCAGGCTCGTTGAGCGACTCGCGCAACAAGACACCGTCCGTCATGTACTTGATGACGGTGTCTTTGCTGGTACAATCTTCAAAACGAATCGCGTAGCCCACCGTGCTGCCCAGCTTGACTTCCATCTCCTCAGAGACACGCTTGGCGACACTCATCGCGGCCACACGCCTCGGCTGCGTGCACCCGATCATGCCCGACTTTCCAAACCCGTCCTCGTAAAGGAACTGCGTCAGCTGCGTCGTCTTGCCGGATCCCGTCTCGCCCACCACGATGATGACTTGGTTCTCCCGGATGACACGCATCAAGTCCTCCCGAACGGCAAACGCAGGTAGGTATTGCCTCTGCTCGCGCAACGTCTTGCTCCGACTGAAATCACTGCTGCCCCCATCATCCTTCTTCATGTGGTCGCTGAATTTGTTGCTGTTCTCGTTCGTCTCCTCCTTCTCTCCTCCCTTCTTCGCCTCGTTCTCCGACGCCACAGGCAACGCGCTGTCGCCGTCGTCCTCCTTCACGCCCATCAAGTTTCCCAAAGCCGTTCCGGCCATGCTCGTAGCCTCCTGCGCCTGCCGCTGCCGTTCCCGCTGCTGGCGTGACTCCTTCACCACCTTGCTTCCCTTCCGACTAAACACAGCCATGTCGCTCTGGTAGTCGCGGACAGCCGGCACGGGTTCCAGCTGCTTTGTGAAGATGGTTCGTCCATCGAGGAACGGAGGCCGCAGATCGTGCACCAAAAGGTGGACTCTCGTCGCCTCCTCGTCGTCGAAATCGGCACCCATATCCCTCCTCTGCGCGACACCCGAGACGAGCATGCGATTCGTCTCCCACGCGTCGTTTTCCCTCTGCCTCTGCTCCCTGCGCGCGTCGAAGCGCCCCGTCATCTTCTCGGCCTTAACCGCCTCCTGCTTCTCGGCTTCCCATGATGAGTACGAGGCGAAAGGATTGTGTGTGTCGTCGCCGAAGGTGTGGCCGCCAAATTCGTCTCCCATGTACCAGTCGCGATCCAGCGCTTTCGAGTCTTCGTCGGTGGGTTCCGGGACGTCTCTTGCCGGTGTCTCGGCGGCGCGGGCGTCGCGCGGTGTCGAGCGGCCCGAATCTTGGAATCGCCCTCCGTCTATCCTCCGGCGCTTGAAGCTGGGCCCTGATCCATCTCTATTGTCGTACATTTTGTGATTCCTGTGATGGCGCAATTCGTCGCCTTGGCGTTTGCTGCTCTTGGCGTGATTATTATCTTCGTTGACCCGTCGCCAGAGTAGAGTTTCCTTGGATGTGTGAGGCCCAGCGTGCGTATGTGATGGATTCAATTTCGAGTATCGGAAATGTAGTGAGGCATGCAGTTTAGAATTGCATGTAGGCAGGCAACCCCAAGTAAACAAAGCTTGAGAAATGGGGCCGCACCTTGCCAGACGGTTTAAACGGGTCTGGCTCTCTTATGTGTATATCCATAACAGACGTCACTGACGGGTCCGATAATGCAATGAACGCGACTTGAACACGGCCTCGACTTAAGAGGTACCATTCTGCCCGCTAATGCATTTCTGTTTTTTTCTTCTCCTTTTTTTCAAGAAACGTTCAAATAGGGTCTCAAAGAGCCCTCGTGCCTTGATTGATTATATGGTAAGACGCTTTCAGTTGAAGCGTGCAAGAATTACCTTAGCCAGCTACCTTTCGGAGTACATGTGAACTAGTTACATTAGAGCCTACCCCAAAATCTTCGAGGTGTCTTATCGATAATGGAAGAGATAAGATAAACCCCACCACGGCGGGAATTTTTTTTTCTCACAGTCGCCCAGACTTGGTGAATTTTGGAGAATTCGTTTTGCGCATACCGACTTGACTTCTCCTAGTCAAATAAATCTCAAATATTTTTCAAGTTGTGCAATTACTCTGCCAACTTCGACAGCCAGCGTGCATTTGAAAGCGCGCGCGCAATAAACTCAGTCACTAGTGACCTTCCGAGGAACATATTGTCTTCAAGATGTCCATGATCACAACATCAACCTGGGTGCCCCGAGGCTTCGCGGCACCCTTTCCCTCAAAATACACCTTTGACGAGTCCGAGTACGAGCGCATTGCCGAACTCGCCAAGCTGCAGCTGGATGACGCCGAAGAGGACCTAAGGGAGGCGCAGGACGAGGAGGAGGGCGCCGACAAGCCCGCCGACGACGATGCGACAACAGGCGCATCTGGCAAGAAGGCCGAACAGTTAGTATTGACTTAAACTATCCGCTCGCTGAGCGGGGGTCTGCAGGATACACATGGTTCGCTAACCGTAGACCACCTTGTAGGGTCAATATCAACGACGACGATCTGAAGGAGTACGACCTCGAGCATTACGACGACACCGATGAAGAGGACGAGGAAAAGGTCGGCCAGGGCGAAGGTATGGCCATGTTTGGCAACATCAAGTCGCTAGCCTACTACGAATCCAATAAGGACGACCCGTACATCACCCTGCCTGCCAATGGTGGACCGGACGACGACGATGAGGACCGCGAGGACCTGCAGATCCTAGCGACCGACAACCTCCTGCTCGCTGCCAAGGTCGAAGATGAGATGGCTCACCTCGAGGTCTACGTCTACGAGGACGCCGCCGACAACCTCTATGTCCACCACGACATCATGCTGCCTGCGATCCCCCTTTGCGTCGAGTGGCTCGACATTCCCGTTCAAAAGGCCGGCGTTGACAAGGACTCGACGGCCAACTTCGTCGCCATCGGCACCATGGACCCCGATATCGAGGTCTGGGATCTCGACACGGTAGACTCCCTGTACCCTAACGCCATCCTCGGTCAGGCCGGCGAGGGCTCAGAAGAGAAGAAGAAGCAAAAGAAGAAGAAGAAGGCCAAGAAGGCTAACGACGAGTACCACGTCGACGCCGTCCTCGCCCTTGCCGCGAATAGGAAACACAGGAACCTGCTGGCCTCCGCCTCTGCAGATAAGACAGTGAAGCTTTGGGATTTGCACACGGCCAAGTGCGCCAAGTCATACACTTACCACACGGACAAGGTGTGCTCTCTCGCGTGGCACTCGGTCGAGTCCACCGTGTTGCTCAGTGGCAGCTACGACAGAACGGTCGTCGCCGCAGATATGAGAGCTCCCGAGGCCAAGGCCCCTAGATGGGGTGTCGAAAGCGACGTCGAGAACATTCGCTGGGACCCCCACGACCCCAACTACTTCTACGTCTCCACGGAGAACGGAATCATCCACTTCAACGATATCCGCAATGCGCCGTCAACCCCCGAGGCGACCAAGGCTGTGTGGACCTTGCAGGCACACGACGAGTCTGTCTCGTCCTTCGACATCAACCCCATCGTGCCCGGCTTCATGGCCACTGGCTCAACTGACAAGACGGTGAAGCTGTGGAACATCCAGGCTAGCGGTCCTTCCATGGTTGTCTCGCGCAACCTGGACGTTGGCAAGATCTTCTCAACGCAGTTTGCGCCCGATTCTGAGGTGGCTTTCAGACTCGCCGTTGCTGGCAGCCGCGGAACCATGCATGTGTGGGACACTAGCACCAACGCCGCCGTTCGACACGCGTTCGCTGAGCGTGTCCCGCAAAAGCCGGAGGGCGTCGAGGAAGACCGTCTCGTTGGCGTTCTTGACGATGACAGCAGCTCCAGCGAAGACGAAGGAGAGGAGGGCGAGCAGGATGGCGATTCGATGGACGAGGATGAGGACTAGGGTAGACGCTAATCAACATGGATGGTGGGCCTTTCACATGTGTTGTCAGATGTAGCCTGCTCGCTGTCTGATCCAAGATCGCCAGGGGAATTTTCCCGCAGGCTTGGCCAGATGGATCGAAACCGCAGGCCCAACTAGTCTCCGGCGCCCGCCCAGAACTTAGAAAGCCGTAGGCCACATACATCACACTGATGATGACGACTCTGGGCTGGCGCTGTTGAAAACGGCGGAGGAATTAGACAGCCTGTATCAATCAGGTGGAGAACAGCCTTTCAGTGTAGAAGTTAGTCTCGAGTCGTCCGAAGTTAAATGCCGTCGTCTGAACAGCATCAAGCATGGGCCACATTAGTTTCGTCGACACATATAGCCAAGCCCGTCAAACAATGGCCTCAAACCGGGAAAATAGTTGGTGAGGAGCACATCGTCAGAGACTGATATATGTGAAGAGGCTAAACGTGAGCGAGTGAAACCACGACTGCGTGGCCCCCAAAGGTTGTTCAGTGTTCACATCCATTGACTGCTGCGATGGGGTATCAGTGTCGTGATAGGGTGGGAGGCTCGCTAATTAAGCATGAACAAAGCGTGGAAGGGGGAGCGGCAACAGCCTGACATCTTCATGCGTAGACATGATGAAGGAGGTGGTGGATCGATATCAGATCTAGGATAAGAGCCGGGCCCGGATATTGCTCTAGGTCTGTTCGCGAATGCAATCCTTTTTTTGTTCTTCCGAATATCAAGCTCGAGCATGGCCATGCCCACGTCAATCGTTCGAGGCATCCGTAGTGTAATGATGAATATTACCAGCCAACGGTGCCATTTGGGCGATTTCGAAGTCGCTGAGGGATTTCTCCTGGCTTCTAGACCGAGAGTCTTTGCCTCCCGCAAGCAGCCAGGCGAGAAAAATGCAGTTCCTGATCGACTGGTTCCCACCCCACCACAAGGCGATTCCCCTGGAAGATGCGCAAGGGCAGCAGAGAGTTGTGTGGTTGCGGGGGCGGATGGGCGAGTGAAATCGCTGGGCCCAAGAGCGCAAGGAGCGCTGACTGGTGAAAGGCCATGAACGCCGACATGGATCCCTGTCCGGCTTGCGCAGGCACGCAAGGCACACGGCGCCACTGGGGTGGGATGGCGCAGGATGAAACAGTGAAACTTCAGGGGGGCCTGCCAACGGGCGAGGATGGCGGACGGAACACCCAGCCAATGACGCCTCTGTCTCGGTCTGGTTGAGCTACCACTGGGGACGGCCGGGAACCACCGGCCACGAGACCTTTCTCGGCTGTTGGGCTTTTTAGTTGACGCTGTCTTGATTCTTGGAGGCGTCGACTCCAGTCACTGGTCCAACAGACAAGAAACCCACAACTTTACAACAGCCCAGTCCAGCCCTTCTTTTTTCCTCCGTTCAAGGCGGATCATATCACACTGTTCAGACAAGGATGATGGTGGCTTCCCGGAGAAACCTGGCAGGTTGACGATGCGCCGCGGCTCGCACATCTTGAATCGCACAATCTTCTGCCAGGATGTGAACGGTGCCGCGTGCGAATCGCTCAAAGTTGGCGGGTCGGCGTCCGTCGGGGCCCACAAGTTGATCGAGTTGCCGGTGGATTGGCGGCTGTATTGATTAAGAGGTTCGGTCCCTCCTCGATTACTCCCCTGGTGATGGCGGCCGTGGTGAAAGACTTGGATAGGAACCGTCCATCCGGATAGAGCAGTACAAATACGTGTTGGTCACGTCAAGCTTCCTGAAGAAAGGCTGTTTCCTTTTGTGTGCCGACCAAGATTTCGTTACCTGTACGCCACACAGAAGGCAATGTGGCAGAGAAAATACATGGCGGTCGCAGGCCAACGCTTGCGTAGTTGGCGAAGTGCGGATACGTAAGTGGAGGCAGCAGTCGCTGCATCGGACGTAGTGTTGGCATTGAAGGCACCGGTCCGTCGACGTTGTGTGGATGTATGAATATGCCCTAAGAGTGAAAGATCCAATGAGGCCGACAAAAACGAGGGCAACGGTCTGGAAGAGGTGTCAAAGGAGAGCGAGTGACGCGCCGGACTGGTCTCGGCTGTGCTGGTCTGACGATGTTGGGCATTCTTTCCAGAAGGCAGATCATCGCAATCTTTGATTCCCCCTTATGGTGGCGGCAGGATTGGGTCGACGGTCGACGGTTGTTTGAACTTTGGGCTGACGATTGGCATCGATCCATGTGCCATCCCGCCGTTCGAGTCGTGCCAGCCAAACGTTTCTTGGCGGATGGATGGGCGGCGGTTGTCACGCAGCGAGCCCGGCAGACACATGGTTGCATCCTCTTCCTAATGGATGGAGGGTCGTGGGCCAAAGCCAGCACACACTCAAATTGAACAGTGGGTAGCGGGCATGGATGATGGACTGAAAGGGAGGTGAGTGTGACGGAAGAGAGTGAGGTGGACGGCCAAAAAGTTGACCGTGGAATAATTGGTACGTATCCAAGGATACTCGGTGGAGAGTGGAGGAAAGGGAAAAAAGAGAAAGGGCCAGGGGTTCGTTGACAAACACAAGCTGTCATTGGTGCAGAGGCCATCTCCTTTGGGTCTTAGCGTTGGATGAGCGGGGGCATCTTAGGAGACACTGTGAGGAGCAAGGGAGCCTTTCCCTTTCAGTTCGCCAAGTCCCACCGTCGACAGGGGGAGCGCTGGTGAAGCGAAAAGGAAAGACGGCAGGCATGGTGGCATGGCGGCATGGCGCCAGTAATTCTTGCCCACCCGCAAGTGGCAGTCTAGTCGTTGGCTCCAGTCCCTGCGAGTAAAGACCGTCCAGAGCCAACCAGAACGGGCGATAGGGCAATCAAAGAGCGACATCCCCCAGGTCCCAAAGGGACCCGAGCCCCATTCATTCTTTTTTTCGGCCAGGAACCAGGCCCGGGTCAAGGTTGCAAGAGAGGGAAAGCCAGAGGTAGAGAGAGAAAGGAAGGAAAGAGAGGAGTACCGTGCCTATCTAGAACCAAGAAAGAGCTACTTCACCTTAGGTAGGTACGGAGTAAGGTACCTACCGACCTGCCTTCCCATAGAGAAGATCGCACCTGCAATATTCAATTATTACTCCCACACGCCCGGCCCTGGTCTGCCATTTTACGCGCCCTCTCTTCTCTCTTTTCCTTCTCCTCAACCTATTCCATTCCCCATATTGGAAAAAGGATCCTGTCCCTTTCGCTTCTGCTCTAGCAAACACATCATCGCTCCCTTTGTGTTGTGTCTTGTTTCTATTCTCGCCTTTTCTCTAGACCTTCTCCCTCCCCGGAGTACTCGAAAGCATTACATCTTTGTCGCGGGCTCGAACTTGTACGGCAGAAACCACCCACAACTCTCTACCTATCTCTTTAAATATCGCGCGACACGTTGAACGTTCCTTTTCGGCTAGCTAATACTGCACCGAACCGTCCGTCATTACACACGAACGAAACCACTCACAATCATTTCATCAACCTCATCACACTGAGTCACCCCAAGACTCATCACAGCTCACAAAGCAACAATATCAAGTCTCAACCGGATCGACGCCGACTCATCGTACTCCCAAAGTACCCCAGGACTGGACTCCTCACCTATTGTCTCGGACGAATAGCAACACAACGCAACTCTCGCGCAGGATAATCCACCACGGCCAGTCCGTCGTCTTAATCATTTGTCTTGCTTCTTGTCATCATCACCGTGGACAGACGGACACAGGCACACCATCAACCCAACGATCACCCCCTCGGCAGATCCTCTTAGTGACCGCCCCCATTCACCTTTTTTCGGCATCACTTCCCTGCTGCTCACTTGACTGCAACTGTCTTGCAGCACAAGATCCACCTCACACGCCAGTAAAGGTCACAGGTCCAATCACAAGTGCAGTCTCTAGCACTTTTTATCACCACCATCTGCCGCTCTTCACAGTCCGTCACTGCACAACAGGCTCTTACTCCCGGATCAGGCGCTTGCGTTCCGTTACTTAACTCAAGCTCACCTTCACAACCAGCAAGGCCTTGCGTTTTGCCTACGTCTTCGCACTGTCAAATTCGGAGTTAGCTTTTGCCCACACTCATCAACATGTCGTCTCTCTCACGAGCCTTTACTACCCGTCGGGTCAAGCAGAGCATCGATCTCTCCGACGCCGCGCGGGGGAAGGAGCGCAGCAACACCATGCAGCGAAGCAAGACCACCAAGCACCCCGTCATCAGACACAAGATCTCTGCCCCCATGGAGCTTGTTCACACCACCAACATGCTCTCATATAACGCTCCCGATATTCGACCCCGGACCGGAACCGATGCCTCGAGCAACTCATCCAGGAAGTCTTCCGAGGAGGACTCGGAAAGCGCCAACTCCGCCGCGTCGTCTCCCCCGACCAGCCCCGACGTCGCGCCTCACGAACTGTCCAAGGAGCCAAACCACCTGTCCTGCTACTTTGTTGCCCCTGGCCAGGCTATCAACTCTTCGATCCCCGAAGTCCCCGCCATTCCTTCCATTCCCAAGCGCGCACCTTCGCACACGAAGCAGGCGTCATACGACGCCGTTGCCCGCCAGCGCTCAGTTTCTCAGATGTCCAAGGCTTCGGACAAGACCGTCTCCTCCAAGGCCAGCATGACATTCTCCTCGCGGGCGTCATCGGGCTCCAGCTCAGCCTCTACCATGTCTCACAGCTCAGTCGCCCCCGCTCCCAAGACCCCTGTGCCGCCTATGCCCACGCCCGCATTCCAGCATCACCACCAGCCGAGACACGAGAAGCCTGCCGAGCCACACCCCTTCGGCCGCGAGTTGGCCCAGGTTACGGAAATTGCAGAGGAGTTTGGCATCAAGGACGATCTCATGTACGAGGAGGAGCGCGCCCTCAAGGCGGAAGGTCTCTGCAAGTTCGCCGCAGAAGACTACCTCACGGAGGTCCAAAGCATCTTCGCCAGCTTCTTTTACGACAGCCACGCACCTCAACGTCCAATGGCTGCCGCCGCTTGGATCTGATGCGTTGATCACTTTTACCGCCTGCTTGGCATACCTTACTTGAGAACTCTTCTTTGTACATACTTGCAGGAAGCAAAAACAACAACCTGACTACGATTCCGGCCTGTTTCTTAGGAAGGGAGATGACGAAAACGAGACTTTTGGCTCAGACAACAGCCTCACTTGGAGCGGACACTTCGCGAAACGGAGGAAGATTGCTCTGTTTGGAACCTGACGCCCAACTACATGTGGGATAATTGGCGTTTCTGTGTATATACCTTTGAATGACGTGCGGATATTCCCCGATAGTGCCTCCTATAGAGGCATCTACCAATATTGCTATTGATAACTGGCTACATCATTTCTGCGGCATGTTTTCTTGATTGAGCCTCAAGTGTAATGTGAAGGTGACTTGTTTTGATGAATGCCACGCGGTCCGTGGTGGTTGACCCAGAGTTCATCGCTGCATGACGCCACCCGTGCGCTGCAGCCTGTCGACGTTTATTTATTTACTTGCTGAAGGGGCCTTACTTATTTCGCCTGATGATTTGTCTTCATTTCATCCGTGCCTTCATTTTATCGGATGAGATGAACAAGCAATAGCCTCAAATGCAAACCCACAGACTGGTCGAAAACGGTGTACGAACAGATGCCAACGGGTATGCAACGCACAGCCAAAGCAAATAGGTAATACTCTCGAGCAAAACCCTTACGGTAAGCTAGGCAATAAAGTCTAGCGTAGTGCAGTACAATTTGGTGAGAGCGGGATGCAGGCAAGACGGGTTTAGCTCCACCGCCCGCCAGACCGAGCTATCGGAGACAGCGTCGCCGATGGAGGGGGGGCGGTCGTGGCGGTTTATCCGCATTCTTCCCTTGGTGCCCGGACCGATGAATCTACGCCAACGCCTTTTTTTTTTTCCTCCTCCTTTCTGGTGTACGGAGTACCCTCTCTCCCTCTGTTCGTTTCTTTGTTGTGAAGTTTTTTTCTGTTTAGCACAAAGGATGGCAACGGGATATTTTCTCTTCCGGGACCATGGGACGCCCCATTTCCTTCGGGGATAGCTACGATACCGGTGGACTAGTGGCGGTATACGTAATTGCTCTTGAAAGTAGGGCTGTGGCATCCCCCCCGTCAATGTGAATCTGATGATCATCTGAATGATGTCCGATGTGGGATCTGTGTCAAGTCCTTTTTTGTGTTGTTCGGGGTTCCCGCCTGAAGACGGACGGATCGTCGGCGCGTCGCCGGGGGGGGGGGGGGGGGGGGGGGGGGGGGGGGCCCTCCCCTTGGTATTTTGTTTATTTGTTGTGTGGTTGGTTTGGTGGTGGTGTTTTTTTTTTTTTTGGTGGGCCGGGGGCCCCGGCGGGGGGGGGGGGGGGGGGGGGGGGGGGGGGGGGGGGGGGGGGGGGGGGTAAGGTGTGGCGGGAGTTTTCAAGGGATTCTCTCTTTCTCAAAGTTTGTTGCATATTGTCTTGCATCTGGATCCGGCTTCCTGGCCAACTGGAGGAGTTTTAGGCTGCATCATTTTGTCTCTCTTTGGCTGTTGGTGATTGGAGGTGAGGAAAGGGAGAATGGTGGTGCGCGGAGGATTGGGTCCCGTTTGTGGACGGCGGGAGATGGGCCCTGGGTGGGGGGGGGAGGATGTCATTCAGTAAGGAAGTGTGCATCTCATGAGAGTGGCTGTCCGATTGACGACTGCGACGTTGATGCCATGTGACGGCCTGTCAGGTCTTGTGGTCTACACGATGGCACTTCTTTTTTTTTTTTTTTTTTTTTTTTTTTTTTTTTTTTTTTTTTTTTTTTTTTTTTTTTTTTTTTTTTCTCTCATCTTTTTTTTTTTTTCTGTGTGTTTTCTTTTTTTGTCTTCTTTTGTGCTTTTTTTTTTTTTTTTTTTTTTTTTTTTTTTTTTTTTTTTTTTGGCAGTGATTGGGTTTTGTCTCTTTATCGCCCAACCATCTCTACCATCACGGCTAGGCGTAGACGTTGTTGTTTGTCTAATCGCATGGCTAAAGAGACGTAGGGAAGTGATCAGGTGGGCCACTCTTCAAGCTTTGCCAGAATCACACAAGCACAGCATCGTTTCGGCAGAAGAAATGATGGAGAGACTTGTTCCAGGCGTAGCCGTGACAACTTTTGACTATCTGTACAAAGTACCCGGTGCAGATGCAACGATGTCGAGCTCGCTTGCACTGAAGAAAGACAAGAAAAGAAAAGGCCTAAACCAAAGAGGACGTCATTGCCATTTCATCTATATGAGGAAGTGGAACTTTTCTTTTTTTCACCATTTGACTCCCTTCCCAAGTTTCCCCTCCAAGTCCCCCAAGTAAATGGGATGCCAAGAATGGCTTCTCCGATCCCCTGCTCTATCCTTTGTCATCCAATTGGGGGACCTCTGGGGGGACGGGACCCCGCCCCGTTCGTTTCGTTTGATCTTCCTCCAGGGTGCTTGCCCGCATGAATGATGCAGAACAGCAAGCGAAAGGAGGGGATCGGGAGGGGGCGCCTGAACGGTACGGTAACCTGTAAGGCGACTGGGGCCGTGTTCACCAGGTATTCCGTCCCCGTTGATCGCCGTGAGGCTGCAGCCCGCAGCCCGCAGGCCGCGAAGGCGGGTGTTTGATCGGAGGTCAGGATGGGGGGTGAGGATGGATGGCCCCGGAGATTTCGGGCTGTTCGAAACCTGTCTTGTGGGTACAGACACGGCATGGAAATTCCTCCTATTGCTGGAAATGCCCCTATTCGCCGTCCCTCCTCTCCTTTGCTTGGGTCCGGATGGGGGTTACGGTCGAATGGCATTTTCTGTGCCGTCGATGAAATGTGATGCGGATGCGGCTCTTACTTTGTTAATGCATTGGGCGATCATCAAGTCTCCGACGCGTCGAGGTGCCGCAGATTCGGAGATCTTGGTGTCACCCCTTGCTCGATCGGTCGCGAACTGGCGAAATGCTCAACTCTACATCTCGACGATGCTTAGATCGGATGGCATTGATTATCCCATTGGTAATGCTGAACTTCATTCGCGAATGATAATGTGCCATTGATCTAAGTTTGGTATTGGCGGGGGATTTGGGGTGTTTAGGAAGTGCATGAGGTAAGATAGGCCGCGACTCCCCCTTCGAAGTGAAATACAATAATGTCAAAAATATGAGCAAGCTTTCTCCATCAGTTCATCACATCTCAACGCATGAATTCAGTGACAAGCGGGCCACACCAGTTCTAAACAGAGCCATGTGAGCGGTGCCGATAGGCCGGTGCGTGGCTGCGATCTTCACCTTTCGTCAAGTCCCTTATGCGCGGTTCATCGAAGACTGCAGCACCGGTCAGAGTTTGGACCCGTGGTTTCGGGATGACCCCCCGAGGTACGGCGCCGAGCCCGCTGCAGACTCGGAAGCCTCGGAGCGAGAACCTCGGAACTTTAAACACCCTCGGCCCCTCCGCCCCGTTGAGACATGACGGGCGGCGGCGTTCGGGGGGAACAACGATGGAAAACCAGACACCACATGGTCACGTAGTGTAAGTCGACGAGCAGCCCTGCTGTGATGCCAAAAGTTTCGCCAGAGATACTGGAACCGCCGATTTCACCATCGGATTTTCTGACCCGCATTCCTTTGACTGGCACCAGGGTAGATGATCGGAGGATAGAATCCCTGGGTATCTTGATTTTTGCATCGGCCATGCGCCAGGGGCAACCTGTCTATCGAAAGTCACTAACGCCGTGTTGCTTTTGTGGCGAGTACTTCTACACCGCAGCCATTATATAATTAAAGCAGCCCAAAGGCTAAAGCCAATTATTGAACCAGCCAGTCAGTGGCCGGTGTCTCGATTTTGCCATTCTATAAGGATCATGAGTTCTGTATTCAGATTGCTTGTGTTGGCCCGGAAACAACTCACCGCTTCTGCTTCTTCTTCTCCGGAGATGCTTCTGAACTGCTTACAAATGCCCCAACCTCGCGGAGGGTATGCGGTACATCCCCCTGCTGCCATGGCTCGCTTCCTCTATTTCTTTTCTTGGGTGAAGCAGGGCTACTCGTGCCAGGGCTCTTGGGTCGCGTCGAGGGAGTGTATGCGGAGGCAAACCTGGGCTCGAGACCGTCAAGGGCGTCGAGAGCGGCAGTAGTGCTTGATTTATCCCCTTGTTGCTCCAGCCAGTCGTTGATGTCTTGCTCGTCCAGCACCTTTTCCTCCGTCGCGCCCGTCCAGTGTGAATTGGCGTCCACAGGATCTCGATTGCCCTTATATAAGAGAAAATCAGAAAGAGACTTATCGTTTGGGAAGGACTCGAAGACATGGCAGAATGATTCGTAACTCTTCCTCTTCCGAACAACATCTGGGCAAGATGCCGCAGGCGAGGTCATCTATGTGATTGAGAGAGCCGAGCACGATGAGACTTGGAACAATGGCGTGTTAGACTTGATCCTGATTGAACTTCATGGAGCGAAGTTGACTTTGTACAATTTAGTATCAATGGCCACTGCAATGATCCCTCCATGGGCTTAGGCTGTAATTAACAAGAGAGCAATTGTTGCAGCTAGAGACGTGGTCCCCGAGCGGCCGCCCAAGGAGGGACTTCAGAGAAGCCGAATCTGGAAGCCTGGATGTGCCCCACGAGAGTTTTTGGCATCCTGGACAGCTTCAACCGAGAACTCGACAAGTTCGCTCAAGCCGTTGCGGGAGCTCTACAAGCTTATTTCTCTCCCAGCAGGATGGACAAGATGCTGCGAAGGATCCATGAGGATGTGCCAACGACCGACCCTCCGCAATCCAGGAAGCAGGTTTGAGTGTTGCCTTGATGGATAACATTGATCCATGAATGACCATAGATTGAGGATGGACTTGTGAGCCTGCGTAAGACGGTAAATCCGGCATCGGCTTCGGGCGGCCAACCTGCAGCCTTATAACAGCCCTATACTCATGGTGTGCCCGATATGTCATCTACTGAATCCTCGACTTCTTTTTTGGGACGAGTGATGGAGGTCACATAAGCGCGACTAGCGCCCTGAGAGGCTGTAGCGATACTGCCTCCCTGAGATCAAAGCATGTTGCCGATCGCAGGGCCATATTTGTGCAGCAACTGTCAGCAACGTTGACAGAGCCTGCCTCGTTGAGACCGGTTTCGAGTGAGTAGCCTGAAGCCAATGTGTGGCAAGTGAAAGGGTTTGAGGTCCAGAACTAAAAAGCAATTAGGCAACGAAATTGAGATTTCCACCGGGTCCGGAATCTGTGCTGCACGTTCCATTCTCAATGGCGGTGAGCACTCCGAGGTCGAAGAACGGCGTTAAAGTTGATTATCGCATGATCAGGTACACCCCTTGAAGAATTGAAATCGCCGCTTTATGAGCATTGTGTATCTTGATATCTTCGAAACCGTTCGCTGTCTGGAAGAGATATGAGGTGTTTGGGTGTAAGAGCGCCATGGTCAACAGCTGACGAGAGCCGCGGGAACAGCGTTGAGTATCAGCAAACCCGTCTTTGAGGTTTCTGAAGCCTTTCAATCAAGGAATTTTCCAGAAGCAGATGTCCATTTCTGGCCTCATCTTTTGATGGTGGCTAGTGATCATCCTGGTTCGATAGCTGCCTGTGCCGGGATGATTATCGTGTAGCCTAGAGTGGGCGTACAGGATTGGTCGCGACGTACGAAAGTGTCAAGGTCTCGAGGTGCAAGCCAGCCATTGAGAGCATTTCCCTTCCCTCATAGATTCGCTAACGAGTGAGAAATGGGCTGGAATCGGTAGGCAAAATGGGACTTTGGTGTGGTGTTTTAACACGGACGTACGTTGGAATAAGTTGCTCGGCAAGTGGTCAAGAATAAGCTACCTTAGAGTTGAAGACCCGGGTGGGAGCTTTGGTGGAGATGAGTGGACCAAATCCGACGGGCCTGTTGAAGGTGCCAGCCACAGACATCCATCCAGGTGCCAGCTAAATGCCACCACCAGCCACAGTTTGGTAAGGGGTCGTGAATTTGGAAGCGACCCCTGTGGTAGCTATGATGAAGCTGTGCGCCTGGACTCGGCTTCGTTTCGTTTCGTTTCACCCACCACCAAAACCTGACTGTCTCGACAATGCCTCCCGTCTCCTTCTTCCTTCGACAAACCCGAAGGTGTTGAATGAACGGTCAATGGCACGAATAACGCTCTTCCGATTTCCCAACAAGCTTCGCCGGCGTGTGCGGAGGAACCGAATGGCCACCCTGCTGGCTCTCCTCGCCCTGGCCGTCCTCCTGGTCGTCCCCTTCTACATCATCTACAAACCACCTCCGTTTGTTATCAACTACTTTGCCCAAAAATGGCCCGACGTACTTTGGCAGGTCAAGACGGACCAGAAGATCATCGGCCTCACGATTGATGACGCGCCATCACAACACACGGCCGATATTCTCAACGTCTTGAAGGAGAACGATGCACACGCGACCTTTTTCCTGATTGGATCCCAGATGAACGGTCGCGAGGAAGATACGGGCGCCATAATTCAGTCTGGCAGCGAGCTGGGAAATCACGGCATGCACGACGAAGCTTCACGGTCTCTCCCTATAGATCAGTTGGAGTCGGACATATTCGAGGTCAGGCGGAAAATCAAGATTGCATACGAGTACGAGGATAAGCCCCTTGTAGCCGGATATTTTCGTCCAGGCTCTGGATTTTTCAGCAACAAGATGCGGAGGTTGGTCGACAAATTGGGTTACAGGATGGTTCTGGGGAGTGTTTACCCACACGATGCCCAGATCAGTTCTTGGCGGACGAATGCCAACCACATTCTGAGCATGGCACGGCCAGGGGCTATCATCATATGCCATGACAGAAGGAGTTGGACCGTCCCTATGCTGCGGAAGGTACTCCCGGAGTTGAGGAAACGGGGGTATAGGATTCTCAACCTTACGGAGCTTCTCAAAGAAGTCGATACAGACAAGTGAGAGACGTATTGGGAGAAAGAGAGCATCAATCATCCAAACCATGACGAAGACACCCAAATGCAACAACGCATATACGCAACCCATGTCTAGGTCTAGACCGCCTCGATACTCGTGCACGCATTCACTCTTCAAATGAGGGGTATCAGCGGCTTCGGACACCGTGTGATCCCGCAAGTTAGAGCTGGTCTCGACCGCAGCGCGGAGCCGCCGGGGATGCGGAGCATCATGACCGCGCCATCGTTGCCTAGGCCAATGCGGTGTAATACCACGTTGCCCATAATAGCTTAAACATGACGAGGAGTCTCGCCTCGGGGCCACGGTATACAAGAGAATGGGTCGCTGCATGATCGAGCGTAACAGGCTCGCTGCTTTGTGGATTGATTAGGCATGGCCCCCTTCAACATCCGCTTGTTTCAGTACGGCGACGCAAAGATATTCTGCGCGACCTAGGTGACACCACGTGAGACAGCAAGGGCTCGTAGGGAGTCGATTGGGCGATTCACGACCTCGTCGAAAAGGGGGGGGGGAGGCGCCATGTGTTGGCGCCATTGTAGAGCCTAGCAGATCTTTGTACGATAGAGGTTGTCAATCTTATGCTATTAGCCGTCAGTGAGAGCGAAAATTGGTTCGCTACGAGATCTCTCGCGGCCTTTTTGTCCTCGACAGATTCCCGCAAAGTTGTCCGAGTATCTCTAAACTCCCACTCACATGGTTTCATTGTTTTGTATTATAAGCTAACACGCTCTGCCGAAGTTTGTGACGATATTCATTGCTCAGATTTTGCCGAATGCCAATCTATTCATAGCTCAACTGACATTGTTCTAGGGTGCATGATCGCTAAAGCCTGGAGACTCGCTACAATCGTCGCCCACGAATGATTTCGGCGCAGTCTTATGAACCTATACCATGGTGGATTGCGTGTGCATTCTTTGTAGGGAAAGAGAATGCTAATGGTCGAAAGTGATAGTCTGGGAAGCGAGCAACGGTATAATGTGCTGTGGCGGCGTAGCATACGGCCTTGACAAGAGGACCATGATATTCAGCACTTGGATGACCTCAGGCATTACCTTTCCATCGGACGCGAGAGAGTAGCACCACATTCGGTGCACCAGTAGATTCAAGGCCAGATCACGTAGTCGTTTTCCCAAACTTCTACGGGAAGGAGCAGTATTTCATTCTCAACGGCACAAACCCCAAACAGCAAAGGTTTGCCCATCAAACAACTTCACAAGATCTAGGATTTCTTGGCAATATCGGATCATTTACTTGACATAAATAGAGTAAAACAATTTGGAAAAGTCCATCCTAGGAAAAGGGGCCGAAAGGTCAAAAGCTCAAGTGCGCAGTTCGGGAATCGAACTGCGCACCCTACGAAATCCTCCATCTGAGAAGACTTCTCGGGATTTCATCACCAAGTTCTTTACTAACGGACCAGGGCGTTATACCGCTCGACCATGGGGATCGATTGGGCTTGGTTGACGAATGAAGCCCCAGACCTGGATATAAGGGCACCGGAGACCCTCACTCTCGAGAAACTCCCGGCCCTCCTCGTCGTATTCCATCTCATCTTATTCCACTCCATAACTTGCTCGCCCCTTCCTCTTCTTCTGTGAACCGGCACCTGCCTTTCGTAACTCACTCTATCGGTAAGTATTAAGTCCCGTCTGTGGAGTTTTCGAGTAGACCTCTCTTCTCCCTTTCACTACCTCGACGCCGGGCCCTCATTCTCAACAGTATCGTAAAAGGGAAAAGGAACGCACACCAACCAGCATTTGCTATATTGCTTTGACATATACATATAAAGGTAATCGGAACTACGGCACAGTCAGGATGCACCCTGACCAGCTTATCTTCCCATTCTGTCCGGACGACTGCTGCCCCGGTCCCGCTGACACAAACAAAGCAAACTTCCCACCAACACACCTCGCCAACGTCCTGACAGACAAGCAAGCTCCAATGGACAAGCAAACTTCATGCGCCCAGGCTATCGTCAAATCCCTCAAGGGAAAGACACTTCACGTCCCGAATCTCTACGGCATCTTCAAAGGATGGCCTGTCAAGAAGACCAACCCTCACTACAAGCGCATCATCCCAATTGTCGAGGAAGCGTTTGACCGGTAAGCTCAGGCAGGAGTTCTTATCAGCCAACATATTCCTGAAATTACCATCTCACAAATACTCACAAAGGCTCATCAAGTCGCCCCTTCTCCGTGAGAAATACCGGGAGGCCAATTACGCCAGATTCGTCAGCTTGTAAGCCCGATCCACTTACCCCCTGACTTCCCACAACAATAGTCTGATCCTTCGAGACAGGTATTACCCTCACCCAGATTGGGAACAGATTCAGACTCTGGCGCTCTACATCATCTGGCTCTTCTGCTGGGACGACGCGATTGACCAACAGGGCAGCGACGACCTGAGCAACGACCTGCTTCGCGCCAAGACTCG